ACACACACACACACACACACAAACCATATAACCATATGCCTTCCTCTAATTACTTCCCACACGTCTTTGGTCAATAGCATTATCAGTTCCTTCATATTTGGAGGTTGAACTCTCTGAAGGCAGAGACTGTGCACTCTGGACCAAGCACCTAGCAAATTTCCTGGCATAAAATAGGCATTCAGTGAGTATATGGTGAACCAAGGGACTAAGCAGGAAATTGAAAATCAGAGAGGTTAAGTTATATTGTCAGAGCCACACAGGAAGTGGCTAAGACAGGGTTTTAGCTGACGTTCTCTATCAGGATGGCAGTGTCCTCCACACTAAAGTCCTTAAATATGCCAGCATTAGACAGGGACCCCTGGACCCTGCTGCAAGGAGGAACCAGGTCTTGAAGAACCTTTAGGCCAGAGCCACCTGTGTGCTAGAAAATTTGTCATTCTTCTGTCTTGGGTGCCTCTGACCCCCTGGCTCTGGAACCATCCTGTTTTGATTGAAGGCGCTGTGAAAGCTGTTTGGAGATTTCCTCGCACTTTAAACAAGACGTCGTATTTCATAGTTACAACTCTGGAGTCGTAAAATATAACCTTCAGCTCACACCAAGCCCTAAAATATTCATCTACACTTTCTCCTCTGGAAGAGGGCCTCCTGTGCCACCATCAAGTTGTGCATTCCGAGTGCAGGTGCGGCGTGCTGATATTTGCCTTTCCAAGCTTATGACTTTATTTATGACTGGCTTTAGCTCCTCCTGAAGTCTCTCCAATTAGCCATAATTTCAGAAAGCCATCTCTCTGTCCCCTCTGCCTCAGTGACTTACAGTGCAGGGAGGAATGGGAAGAACAAGAACGCATATACCAGGCCGCTCCCAAGAGCACCCTGGGATGCCTGGGAGCTATGGCGGTCTGGACTAAGCATTACAGATCTTTCTAGAGTCAGACCTTCACCATCATATGCTTTCAAAGCACCAACTATCTCCATAACTAGTTCTGCAGATCCTCTCCATCTCCTCCTGACCAGAATCCTTGGGCTCAGAGGAATGAAAATCTCACAGGCCCTGGAGTGGAGTCACTATCCTGAAATTCCAGAGTCTAAACAGAAGAAACAGGGCTCTGACTCCATAAAGGAATTGCCTTGAGGCAGGCAACCAGGTATACTCCCTCTTAACAAAGTGATCGGCCACTTTGACTGTAGCTCCCTAGAAACCCTTAGTAACTTTGAGGTCAACTGCCTCCTGGAGCTTACCTTGAAACTAGGGGCAGGATGATAATTTTGTCTGAGCTGGCTTTAGGTGCATGTTCAGTAAGGCAACCTGTGTCCTCAGAATGAATTTTTAGGGAGGAACCCTACTTACCATCCTATGCAGGAATGGATGTGCATAGACCAAAGCCAGATGCATCATGGGAAAAGGTATGCACAGTGAGCTAAGGCTTACCTAACCCTAGCTTGTCAATCAAGACAGCCAACCAAGAAACAAAAAACAAACAAACAACAACAACAAAGACAAAACAAAAAATAAATACTTATTCCATGACCCAAGAAATCAAACTCCTCTTCCTCCAGGACACACAAATGGAAGCTTTGGGTAATGATAGCAGCTCATGATGATAGTATCTTTAGTTAGAGTCTTTCTACACACAGTGTCCCCTCATCTAGGTCTCCTGAGTGGAGAGCTACATTCAAGGTCTTCCTGGTTGGTACAGTTTCACAAAGGATTCTTCAAAAGGCTCCCACTGATCTTGGCCCCAGTGAGGACAGCCAGTCATTAAGAGGTGAAAGGGTTCGGAGGGCCTTGCCTTTCTCCATAGATTGACCCAATGAGGGTTCATAATTTGATGGAAACTTCTGGAGGTAGGGCATAGTTGGAGGAAGTAGGGGGTGTATCCTTTCAGGCTATCTCTTGCCCCAAGAACCCCTTTTCCTGCTTCCTGGATGTTTGTGATAAACTGCCTCCTCCACACATTCCTGCCACAGGGATGTTCTGCTTTCTCTTAAGCCAAGGCAAGGGAATCAGCTGATCTTGGCCTTGAGTTTCCAAAACCACAAGCCAAAGCAAATCCTTCTGCCTCCCTAGTTGTTTCTCTCTTGTGCCTGTGAGGTGGTTAGAATAGGTATGACCCTTATAGATTCCTGTGTTTGAGCGCTTGGCTATAGGGAGTGGCGCTATCAGGAGGTGTGGTCTTGTTGGAGAAAGTGTGTCAGTGTGGGGAGGCTTTGAGATCTCGTATATATGCTCAAGTTCTGCCCAGTGTGGAACAAAGTCCCATTCTGCTGCCTGCAAATCAAGATGTAGAACTCTCACCTCCTTCTCCAGCCCCATGCTTGCCTGCCTGCTGCCATGCTTCCTGCCATGATGACAATAGACTAAACCTCTGAAACTTTAAGCCAGCCTTGATTAAATGTTTTCCTTTATAAGAGTTTCTGTGGTCATGTCATTTCTTCATAGCAATAAAAACCCTAACTAAGACAATGTGTCAATTACAGTGATGGCAACCTGATCAGTGCAGGATGGATTAGGAAGCTCTTCTTTGTAGAGTGTCCCTCATGGGCTAAGCAGAGCACTGAGCACCCTCAAGCCACTTAAAAAGTTAGCTGAGACACCCCTGTGAAGGTTAGTGTCAATTTTCAACTTGATAGAAACTGGAATCACCTGAAAGATGGAGCCCCTGAGCTTATAAGGGAGGATTCTCTTGACTGTTCATTGATGTGGGAAAACTGTGCCTACTGTGGGAGGCACCATTCCCTGGCTGGATCCTGAACTCTATGAGAGGAGACAGGAAATTAAACAGCAGCGTCAGCAGCACTCATGTCTCTTTTATTAATAGTGGATGCTTTGAGCACCTGTCACCTTGAACCTGCCACCTGGTTTCCCTGCACCTGCTACCCTGGTTTCTCTGCACCTGCCACC